TCTTCTTGGAGATCTTGCATCGGTGGCCATGAACATCACCGTGTTGATTCCGGCGTTCGTGGGATGAAGCGATTTACGACATTGGACGCGATCATTGCTGTAACCCCTTTCTTCCAAATGTCGATTGATCTTTGTCTCGTTGTCGTGAATCGAACCGCCCATCAAAGTGTCTTGATCGTGCGTGTCACCTTCAAGGATATTTAAATCTTCCAATGTGAGGTTGGTATTTGATTTGACAATTCGACGATAGATGGTGTCAACGTTTTCGCGTGCTGTCGTCACGAAGAACCCATCGGACACGCGTATATGCAATCCAATGAAGTTTCCAATCCCTCCCAACTGTTCTACTATGCTGTCGGCTGCATTTTGAATTATTGTATTATGGGGAATGAGATGTTTTCCGATGAATTTCGCGTGCTCCACGCTATCCGGTTTCTCGACCGTCACCCTGTGTAACCCGAAAAGGGAACCCAGGTGTAACACCTTCTTGTCAATTTCCTCCAATTCTTTGATGTCAAATTTCCTCTTGTATTTCACATTTTGCGGCGAACCGAACGATGAATCGTGGATTCGGTAGTCGAACAATGTGGTGTCCTTTATGAAATGAAAATCTTCATCCAGACTAATGCGAAGATTCTGACTCAACCATCCATAGGAAGGTTCCCATCGATCTACGATCTTGTGCCATTCTCTGATAGGCTCCATGTCAAATAAGAAGTCCCAGGATACAGCCGTGGATGAAAAATAATTTAAACATTCGGCTGGTAATGGAATTTGATCCGGTATTTTCCAACAATGTTCCAGGCCCATTTTAGTGGACACGAGCAATTTTTCGTACAGCTTATCAAATCTTGCCCATGGAATGGGTGGTCCGAATAATATCGGCGGCATCAACAATGTACGGTTCAATATTTTAGCAAGTAACAATGCATTTTCTAGTGCCACACGTTGATTGTGAAATCCGCTGTGGGCGAAATAAGCTAAAAATCTTTCCTCAGGATCAATGTTGAACTCTTTGTGGACACGGACTTCGACATCCTTGAATTGTTGTCGTGTATCTAACAGGGAATCCGTTTGTCCTGAGCTACTCGTGAGATCTTCGCGGTAAAAGACGTGAAAGAAAGCAATGATCATGAATAACCATAAACCCGAGAAAAATACTGTCCGAATTCCGACATGCGAGATTGCGATCATCGTTCGAGGGGATCATAGGAAAAAAAAATCATGTCGGCGCTCTCACATATTTATACCCTGGTTATGTGCGATAATGTTGTTAGTTAGTCCAGTTTTGGGGGATTTGAAACATAAATTCTACGCCACCAGATTTTTAATAATTATCCTTAACAATTACCATTATTTTTCCTAAACCATGTATTTCCAAGTAAGATATAAATATCTAGTATAGGTACATACCTTAATAAAGATTCTGATTTATAAATAACACAGACCCTAATTACGATGATTGATAAAGGAGCTGCGATGAAGGGGTAGGGAGTTTTCACCCCTTCTCGTTTACAAGGGTCATAATTTAAATCACTATATGGTTAGGAAAAAAAAAAAAAGGACCTGCAACCAATCTGTACATGTATCTCAGCATAACAAAACTGCACCTTCTGCTCCCTATTGAGTTTTTATTCACAATTCTTCATTCTATCTTTTTATTATATGCTGATACGATACTTCCTGCCGTTCTGACTTGTTTTGCTATTTTATCACTTATGTTAATTGGAATAACCATCTGTTATTTATATGTGGTGTCTAAATAAATATATTAATTACTTCATGCAACAAACAAAAAAACCACGCTTTTTTGATGCTTGCTTGTCGGTGCCATCCATTATTAGTGGACACAAGATAATATTCGAAAAGTGGGTTATTTATATTTGTCCTAGCATACAATATATGCATGTCCCATATTAATTGTATATTTATTGAATGGCTCGACTTTATTTAGTCTATTTGCTAATTTTGGTGTAAGCGTTTCTCTTTTTATTTATTTATACATGCACTCACCTTTTGTCACTAGTCCTCTAATGGTGTTTTAACAAGTTTATCAACAATTTTATATGCGCCTTTATTGAAGAGACGGTCAACAGTCCAATAGTCAATTTAGATAAATTTATTGATGCACTAATGATGTTGTGCAATGTTGACTCCGAATAGGAAGTTCAAACAACTGCCTGACAGTTAGAGTGGAGCTCTTCTGCTCGTGTACTGTTAGGACGTACGTACGTACGTTTGTGTGTATATATTGTTTCATGTCTACGCACTCAAAGTGGTCAATTTCCGAGGCCATCATAACAATTAAAACTTTAAACACAGTACCTTGACCATCCCGCGAATCATCAAATAATAATTACCTTCATTATCTTTTTTTCTCGTCCGGCCTATAACGGGCGCATTACACTTTCTGACTCGACCTTTTTTTTTTTTTCAAATATCTTTTTCATCCCAATTTTCTCTTTCTTTTTTTATCTTCTGTGCCTAGAAATTTTTTTTGTCAATTGTATCTATTAACACATTGTGATATTCTATTATTTTCATTATCGGTTACATATTTGGTCCTTTGAATTTTTATAAATAGTAGACAGGCCGCCTCTGACCTCTCCTACTTTCCTTTCACCTCATTTATTGTTGACCTTCATCAATTTTGAAACTTGTGTGTGCCTCTCTAATAATACGTGTCAAGTCAAGAAAAAAAAAAAAAAAAAAATAGTGATCAATTATAAATATATATATATGTATATTATTATTCTATTTATATTCGTTATATACAATTGTTAGTATACCTTAAATTAAATTAAATATACACACTATTGTATTCGATATACGTCATATATACTTTTTTTTTTGTATCTAATCTTTGTTTTTATCAGACAAAATTCTTTATAAACCCTTTTCATTTCCAGCTCTTTTTTTTTCAAAAACTCATTCCTTTTCATCTACTTTGGCACCCTGTTGTCCCGGAGTAAATTAAAAGTGTAAGTAGTAATTTTATCTTTAAACATCCTCAAGCTACTATGTCAAAGAAACTTTCTTTCATTGGCAATGACGACGAAATTGCAGGGTGCGTAGAGAGGGTGGTTCCCTCTCTCACCCCTTCTTTCCCCAAGCGTCATGCTTATTCGTGCGTAATTTCTTGTATTCATTAATTTCTTCATGAGAAGAATACTTCTTCGCCTCTTGCCTCTTTCGCCTTTTGCTTGTTTGAGCACAACTTCTTGGGGGCGTAAAAAAAAAATTTTTTTTCAATTTCCTTGTTGAAATTCTATTGTCCACATTGTTCCCTAATTCTCCCGTTTGATGTCATCACATCAACGCCAACAATTCCTCCTTTTGCAACAATTTTCGTGACAGATTTTTATTGTTCCTGGTTCTTTCTTATTATAATAATACTTGCGCTTTTATTTTATTTTATTTTATTTTATTTTTTTCCCTTCCTTTTTCTCTCTTTCAAACAATTCTATCATTGTATCATCATCATCGCACATCTTTTCATTCATCCCCCTAATTGAAGATGCCGCAGCAGTGGCTTTCTTTTTATTCGTTAATTTATTTTACTGCGCACAGCCCCATCTGTTCATCATTCTTCCTCATCATCCTCCTCCTTCATTATATATCTTCAGCCTCAAAATAATACCTTTTCTTTTTTTCTCTCTTGCCTCTTCAAGAATTCAGCATTCGACTTTCTCTAAACACACTTTCCCTCAACACCTTTATTCAACTGTAAGCACTTGTATATCTTTGATATTTATGTATAGACAGTTCACTATCTCCAACCACAAACTACTTACTATTCAGAATGATTGTATCATGTGTATATTGCCGTTCAAAAAATATTTTTTTCCAACGACGAATTCCAACCACGGGTAGCACAACTTTAATACTAACCAATGAATTTTCTCGTGTCTTTTTCAACTC